CCCTGCTGTTGCTCCTGCTGCTGCTGTTGCTCCTGCTGCAACGACGACGGTGACAACTAGTACTCGCGGACTTTATGCAGCATATGCACTATCTGACTATTTACCGTATATATGACAGGTTTATATATACATGTGTATATAGTACCATGTCATGTTCCTTGGATATGTTTTTGTTTCGCTGTTGCTCTTGCTTCTAAAGCATTCAGAACCAAGCTTAAGATCTAGAGTCAATTATGGATTGGTCCTAGCCGGGCAAAATGCCGTGCCTATTGTTGTGACCGTCGCAGCGCCTTGCTACGGGCCTGGCAGAGAAAGACTAAGACAGAGAGAGAGGTTCATCTGGACACTTCGCTGTTGTCTAAGACGTTCCAACCATCGCCAACGCCTCGTGAACTTGCATGGGCTGCGCCCTGCAGGAGTGGTACAGGCAGATGGGGCCTGAGGAGGGACCCTTTCCCGTCCCGTACTGGGAGGCTGGGGCGGAAGCGTTAGGCAGATAGCCTACGTTGACCTACATTGGCCTAGATGTTGGAGTCTGCCTCGGCCAGGTTGTGGTTCGAGTGCTTTGGCGTGGCAACTTGGCTTTGAGATACCGAGGTAGTCGAGCAACCCGTAGCAAGCGCAAGACGAGGAAGCAATGTGCGTCCACATTAGATTCATTAGATAGCCTGACGGACTGTGTTGCCGCTATTCGATTGTTTGTGGGTTTGCAAGTAACCTGTCTGTTTCAGAACAGATTTGACAGGCTACATCTACGACTACATGAACCAGCAACCCAGCAGCATTGTGGATTAGGGAGAGGATGGGAGAGCAGCTTTGCGGAAGATGCAGTTATGGCCATGTCTGGTTTGCTCCGCCCATTTATGCCAGTGATGCACAGGCACAGCAAATGTCGGCACTGAGGTATCGCAATCAGGCCACTTTTGTTTCCGCGGGCCTGACCTTTGCAGAGGCCTTCGAGAGAACGGGAAGGACAGCCTTTGCCGTTGCATTCTCGCGGGCGGCTTGGATGCCCTGATCAAGATTTTGGGAGGACGTTCACCATCACTTGCACGCCGATTTGCGGTGGGCCCCTCCTCCTGCTCAACAGGCATCTGTTGGTCTAGCAGTCGAGTCTAGCCGCCTATAGTAGCCTCTGCTCACACGTGCTGTGCACTTGGCGCCTGCCAGACACACAGCGCCGAACATGTTCATTGCCTCGGTGACTCTGCCTCAACATCGCTCCGTGAATCGTGATATTCTGTCCTCTCTGTTGCCAGCTCGTCAGGTGTGCACTGCGTCAGAGCCTCAATCACAGCCCAGGCAGTTTGCGCTTCGTCATCAATGCCGATGCTCGTGCAGGCAGTGCAGAGAGGTATGAAATGGTAAGTGTGTTCAACCAACGTTGTTCATGCCTCGGCTCCCCTCACCGTCGCGAGGCCGTGCGGCTTCTCGAGAAGGGCCCGGACGGAAGCGTGAGACCTTGGCCAGGCCACAGTAGGTCAGTAGGGCACTCGCTCCGAGAACTTCGCGGTCCGCATTTGTCCTTGAGAGGTGTCACGTCGCTGGTGCGCGACGGGACGATGATGGCCGACTCTCCCTGCCACGAGCTTGCGGAGATGCTGAACATGTGTCTTTGCATAGCATAGCCGATCCGGGTACAGAGGCCGAGAGGGTAAAGAGGGACGAAGTACCACCATAGTCAGGTGGTCACTAGTCGCTCTTCTCACAGGCCTGTAAGCGGACCACTAGAAATTAAGTCTGTCGCTTCGTGATCGTGAGGGGCGGGCTTTGAATGCCGCTTGTCGGGTCCATGCAGTCACCGGCCCCCTCGGGAGTTGGAAAAGAGGTGGAAAGGAGTCCCATCGGGTTGCAGGCACGCGAGCTCACCACAAGAACAATAAGAGACAGGGAGCAGAGGCGCTCACAAGCACTCTGGCCCTCACTCTGCCTCATTTTCAGCCGAGGCGGTGGTCCATTGTTTCTCAGGTGCCAGCAGTCTGTCGCGTTCAGAGATGTGGCACGAGCTTGGACCGCTCACGCCAGGTGAATCCACACGTGGTGCCGCTGTCTTTGCCCCTTTTGCTGGCCGGTCGCCTTAGGCGCAGCTCCAGTGTTCCCCGGCATGGCTGAGTTGCTGATCGCATGTTGCGAAGGCAAACTTTGTTCACGCTGCGCTGCTGGTTCTAGTTTCTTGAGACAACAACTGCTTCCGGCCCGGGCGCCGGCATTGACTAAGGCTTGGGCAAGTGCAAGCATGGCTGCTGCCGAGCCTTTGCTCCGCAGGCACCGGAAGATAGGAGAACGGAGGATTTGAGTCTAGAGCCGCTTCGGGGTTCTGTGGAAATGCGAGGTTCATTTGGGCGTCGCTGCGCACGTTTCAGTCCTGGACCGGGCTCCCACCCCGAGGCTGGCACCCTAAGGCAGTGCCACTCCTCGCCCCCTTTGCAACACGTACATCTTTGCAGGTGGTTGGATCTACAATCTCCTTTTCCAGGACTACTTCGGAGATGTGCCCTTGCTGCATGGAACAGAAGCATCCTTGCCTGGCGAGCCAAGCGGCACTCTTGCTTTGCACGTCTCAATGGAAAGCATTTTGGCATCAAGCACTCCAGAGCCTGCTCTTTGCATCTCGCGCCTTTACGATGACCATGAAGATCGTTGCCGCAGCTGCTGGCGCCATGGCCTTCCAGGCGATGGGAGGACTCTTTGCTTCGCCGGCAAGGGCGGCTTGGGGCTGGTTCATGGAGGTGCCGACCGGTCTCGGCTTCACTTGCAGTGAGGGCACCTCGCTTGGCTGTGCCTCTCCTGCAGGCTGCGAGGACTCCAACTTTACTTGCACGGTCGTGCCTGATGCAGGCATGAGCTGTGATGTCACCTCCACGAACGTCGTGTGCTCCATTGCCGGCGGTGCCCAGAACTTCGTGCCGGACTCCGCCAGTCCGATGTGTGCCCAGGTCAACACCAGCGACCATTACAACAACGCCAGCCTGTCCTGGAGCACGGTCCCGACCTGTGGAACCACTACCACCGGTACAGCAACGACGTCTGACGCAAGCATGGAGATGGTCGGATTTGCGGCGGCGGCCCTGGCAACGGCACAGCTGCTCTAAGCGCACGGAGCAAGGGAGTGCATTTTCACAGCCATTTGTAGCAGCAAGTAGTTTCTGCAAGTATTTTCCGCTGACATTTTCTGGCAGAGAGTGTGGACCCGAAGCGGGCTGCAGCTCCGGCCTGGAGTCTCTTGAATTCAGCTTTCCGGCAGTTTGTTGAACTGCTTGCTCGTTGTGGGCATCGTAGAACTTGCCAGCAGAAGCAGGTCCGCGCACGCCAGAAATTGCTCGGGCAAGCTGCTTTGCAACTGTCAGCGAACTCGCAGTCTCTCTCGAGCATCTTGAAGCTCTGATTGCTTTTTTACTGGGAGGTGAATATCGTCCATGACGAGATGCGCTTCATGGACTACGTGCGTGTCATCAAAAACGAGATCAGCATGGAGGACTTCCAGAAGAAGGCGCGCCGCAGCTCGGAGCGCTCGGAGCGGAGCATAGCGAAGCCCTAAGTACAGCGAGCAATCATATGGGGGTGACCCTAATATAGTACCCCAAATAGTAGGATCCTAAGGTACCCTTAATTTTCGCAGACCCCCACATCTCACAGTCGAATTCTCGTTGCAAGGCCTTTCTCGGCGCCGAGAAGAGTGTCCGGCCACTGCAGCGTCACAAGCTGCGAAGAAAGATTGAGGTGAGCAGGGGCGCTCTTAGCGGTCTAGTAGCTCTATCGAACGATCTGATCTTGTCAGGTAGCCTTGGGAGCAGCTAGTACGGCAAGTGCCACCGCTCCTTTCAGCACACCGCGGCGCCCTCGACGAGCTGTAGGGCTCGGTGCTCAAACGTAAAACCCTGCAGCAACGTGTAGTCGTGCCTTGTCGGGATTTGCAGCCCAGAGTTCTGACATGTTCTGATTTTGGTCAGGCGAAGGACACGCGTGTGATGCCTGGCAAGGGCGACTTGTGTGTCTCTGCACGAATTGGCGCCGTCAGCTGCGATGATTTGCATTAATGTGAATTTCTCTGGTGCCATCCGATTTTCCCACACGACGGCATCACCGCTGTAATGTCTTCATTCCTGCGTCGCCGGCATGCCGGAGAACTGCCAACATGTTGGAGATTGCTGAAGCCAGTCAGCTCGTGCCAAGCCGGATGATTCCCATTTATTTGCAGTGCCGGAGCTGGCGCGGAGCCCGCCCAGCGCGATCACTTCCTGTGATCCAAGCATTTTCCTTTAGCGTACAGCCCATGTTGATGAGTTGCTCCGACAACAGCTGCTCCTTGTTGCTTCGCGCTGCCTCGCATAGAGGTTTGCATTTATTTACATACACTCCGCGGACTCCCCGGGGTGTTATGGAGTGCCCAGTACAGTGTAATGAATACTCGAAATGCAGCAAAGCAGGACAACGTAGAAAAGGAGCAACTCAGTCTCAGACCGTAGAAACAGATGTGCACAAAGACGTGGCCGCGGCTGCTGTGCGACAGGCGGCAGAGGCAGCAAGTCCGAGTTGCGGTTTCGGCTTCCCAACAGCAACCGAGGCCACTTGAGTTTTTCAGCATTTTCGCTGAGGAGATGGCTTCCCCAAGCCACTTTAGCAAGCCCCGCCGAGCAGTTGCCGAAAGCATCGTGGCTGCTCGACAGCGAAGTTTTTGCACGACTTGCACTTTTTTCGGTTGTGACGCCGCCAACCACTCTTGTGGCCGGTTCTCGAATCGAGAGCCGTGAGAGGTGCTTGCATAGCATGGCTGTGGAAGAGGAGTTTGGTTTCAGGCTTAATTCAGGACACCTCTCACTTTGCCACGTCGTGGTAACGGCGCACCAGACGAAAGTTCTAGTGTAGGTTCCTGGAAGATTCAGGTTGAGCAGATGCGAGGAACCTTGCAAGGAGTCCGAGGAGTTCCAAACAGGAAAGATCGTAAAACTCAAAGTTCGAGCTGACAGTGAGTTGAAATGCTGAACCATCTTTGCTCGCAGGCGCGGTGGACACCACGGCAGCCGACGGTCTCCTCGTGGCTTTTGATCAGGGAGGCCTGTGGAGGAGCGGCTGGGGTGGCAGTTGCACTTCCAGAGGCTGCCCCATGCTCCGGGTGCAGGCATGTAGTATAATGGGGCCCCAAAACCCTGTTCTAATTCTTAAGGCTCCTCCTCAAAGCAACCCTGTAAGTCACGAGTGTGAACTTCCTGCGGAGAGGGTTGCCAGTAGGGAGGCTTTGGCTTCGATCGCCGAGCGGCAGCGATGTGGGCCACGGTCACGCCCACAGCGCCAGTGCCGAAGCGCCTCAGGCGGCAGCCACGAGAGTCTCAGAAGTCTGCAACTCACTGCAGGCCTGGACTGCATGCATTTGGTGAGGAACCCAGACCTTTTGTATGTCAGAGAGAGAGAGAGAGAGAGAGAGACTGCATTTTATCATCACAGTCGTTGTGCAGTGTGGAGTTTGCGAAGTGATTGTCCTAACCTGACACATCCTAACACCGTCCTAAACCAAAGCCCCGGCCGAAGCTCCTGGGGAAGCACACGTGCCGGCCTGTGGGGGGTTTGAAGCTTCGCCTTCGTGGCGGGTTGGGGTTTAGTGTTACCGGGGTGAGACGGTCGGCCTGTGAGCAAATCTTCGGGGAGCTTTCCTTTCTGTCAGTACGTAATTCCCCGGTGCGTGAAATCGCGCGAGGGGGGGAACCTCACACGACACCCCTCTGGCCGAGTTGAAGAAGATAGAGAGAGACTATCGGGTGGGCTTGAAGCCCGGGGGATTTGACCATCCCCTCCAGAAAGAAAGAAAGAAGATAGCGAGAGCTCTACCCCTGTGAAGTGAGGTGAAGAGAGACTTAGAGTGCAGCTCAGGTGAACAAGAGTAGCGCGTTGCATTGCATCTGGCACTAAACCCGTCGGACCGATGCACGAGGAGCCGCGATTGGGGCATGCTCAAAAGGCCAGGACCACAACACATATAAGGCATGGCTGTCGACTCCAAGGTTGAGCTTTCCCGTGGCTTGCAGGTTTGGAGTGGCAACAGGGAGTGAAGTTGTTGCGGAAGACTCTCGGCGCGGTACAGATTCCACTCCAAGCCGAAAAATTCGCAGTTTGTTCACTGCATCGGATCGCGGCAGTCAAGGATAATTCAGCTGAAGCTACGCCCTGATGTGTGGATTTGGAGTGTGGTCCCCGGTGCCACACGGATCAGTCTTGAATCGCATGGAGGGTTGGGCGGTCATTGGGTTTAGAAAGAAGGTCCGTGTTTCCTCGGGTGCAATGGTTCACTGTGAGCAATTCGACGGGACCCAGCAGCAAGCTGTCGACTCGTAGCGACAGCTTCCGTTTGGTCCTTGCAGAAACGCACCAGCATATGGCTCGACTGTCTCGCAGAGCGAACAAGTAGCCAGTCGTCATTGCTGAAGTGCCCAGTCGCCTCAGGAGTGGATAGAGGAGTGCTCACCTTTGCTTCGTCACCCCACTCTGAACTCGGGCACATGGTGTCTGTGAGGGATCATCTCCGACTGTTTCAGCTTGCGAATTCAAGCTCAGTCAGAGCAGGCGCGACGACGAGTGCCTGTGAGAAGGCTCGGCCGGGCATCAGCAAAGCATCTCCCATGCCTGATTTGCCTATTCGCACAGCTGAGCCCCCGGTGAAGCCAGGGACATGCTTGGCACCTGGCTCTTCATTGTCTTCGGGATCTGAGACGCAGAGGCGCGAGCACACGGCTGCTGTCGAGAAGTGCACTGGAGCTGCTAGCTCGCAGCTTGCAGTCGTACCCTAAGCTCGGCCTCCGCTCTGTAGGATGAACAGCCTGCTTTCCTATCGGACGGTGTGGTCCATGCCAGTCAGCCAGTCACGACAGATCGAGGCTTGAAGCCCGATGCCGTCGTGCGCCTGCAGAGTGACAGTGGTCTGAAGCACCTTCCGAAAGGCAGTCTAAGATTGGGAGCTCTCACAGATTGGGTTCCTTGCAAAGCTTGAGCGGGCTCGGTGAAGCAAAACATCTGGGAGAAATCGCGAGGTATACAATGCCAGCATTAGTGCTTGCGAGAAGGGCATGCAGCCTCCTGGACGATTTCAGAACAAGAGACCGCTCGTGGCGACAGGATGTATGCAAGCGTAAAGCTATAGCAGGAAACAACTGTTTCAGCAGAATCTGGTTGCTGAGCTCTTCCTTGCACGATCTGAGCTTGAGTGTCAGTCTCGAGGTGGCGTCGGGCAATTGCACTCTTCTCCGAGATGTCGCTCCGCTCCGTGCGGCCGGACGTGGTGCTTCAATGCCGGCTTGAAATCTGAATAATCCGGCCATGTGTCAATGCATCCAGCTACAGAGTGGTGCAGTGAAAGCTGATGCCAGGTGACCTATAATTCGACAGCTGGCTTCCCAGAGCCACAAAGATGAGCGGCAAGAGGGACGCGTGTCCCGTCACATATGAAAGTGCCGCAATACCTTGTTCATTTGTGACTCGCGCGACACTGTGGAGCGTTTGCATGGCTCCGTGTTCCTGGCGCAAGAGGTCAGCGCTTGCGAGAAGAACTTTCGCTGGGTTGAGGCCGCCACCACTGCGGCAGCGCACGGACCGTAAGAGGTTGCCGCAGCCTGTGAAAGGCTCCCCAGAATTTCCAGCACCACTTGCGGCACAGTTTGCAGGGCACTATGATCTTTTGGCAGGCGCTTCAGCTGGTCGATCAGCTGGAAAGAAGAAGAGAAGGCCTTTGACCGTCCGTACAGTGACAAGTGCAGGCAACTTTAGCAGCGACACCGCGCACAGCTCGGCGCCCCTCAAAGCCAAATTGCTAGCTTACGATGCAAAGCAATCCACAGCGAAGCATCAGATGATAGAGTATCAACAAATAGACGCCAACACCCAGTGCTGCAGAAATCCTTGTCATGGACACTAAGTTTCTTGGTTTGCACTCCGACGTCTGTCACTTGTGGCAAGCCATCATCAACTGTATAAAGCATGTTTCAGCAATGTCCAGCAGCCGACGAATCAGCAATTTAAGAAGTGTTAGCACAGAGCTAACCGGTCCCCACTAGAAACACGGGAAGCTCACAGCCGTAGGCGTCCACCTGCACCCATTCTTCTGCACCAGGTCCTTCTGCGTCACCAGTCACCTACAATGCGCTGCGCCTCGGCGAATGTTGACCGACTCGATGACTCGACCCGGGCTGCCGATTGGCTCTTGAGACGGATGGCACAGTCTCGGGGTCAAGGGACGGAACGGCGCGACAGCAGCTGCTTGCATGGGGACCCTGGCGGCGACGCAAGTCGAAGGAGGCTTCCTCCAGCTGATCGGATGGTCCCTTTATATCTGTTTGTTAAGAATACGAAAGAAAGCACAAAGTCTCACGGAAACGTCGATTGGTACTTCGAATGTTTCCTGGTCGACTGGGTTTCGGTCCAGGCTGGCGGCTCTTGCAGGTTCAGCTGTTTGGGCGCCAAGACCTCAGAAGCTCCATTCTGCTCCTGCACTTCTGCAAACCAATTCAGACAAAGAAGCACACAGATGCTCCACTTTGAGCCTGTAGGTGGACGGCAGCATGAACCAAAACCCGAATTTGGCGGGTAGCAAGACCAAGTATCAAGGCTCTCGCTTCATGTGGTTCATCGGCGCCTTCCCGAGCAAGGCACATGTCAGGGCGCGTTCAGACCATTGGTGCAAATATCAATGTACAGGTAACTTATAGTAAGTAACACCACAAGAAGTTCAGCAGAGTGGCGAATCTGCCGGCTATAACCAGGAGGCCGCAGGCTTACAAACCCCGAAGTAGCAGAAGAAACGGAAGCGCATCTTCGCGCATGCACCACAGGTAGCTAACTGCCCAATTCCATTGCTTGCACTTCCCTCACGTCCCCTGTCAGTCCCTGTCACCTTCAGCCTTGCACAGGGCTTTCAGTTGCCCCTGCGGGCCAATGCGCCATGCTTCTTGCCTTGGCACGTGCACGTCCTAAGCTGAGCAAAGGGGGGATCTTTGAATCCTAAGCAGCGTATGCTTGTTGGGCGGAGTGAGGCGCCGCCCCTGACCCTGACTCCGCCTGAACCCTCCCTCCGAGGCCGGTGGTCACAGGCGGCGGCGCACTTACTGTAGCTTGCTGGGCATGGTCCCAGTGTTGATGCAGCACAGCTGAGTGCAATTCCCTGAAGCGTCCCTAGACATGTTGCCACAACCTACGCGTTCGGGCATAAGGATGGTTGAAGCGGGCAGAGTTCGAAAGATAGTATTTCCGGAGAAGAGGAGTGTCAGCTCTGCTGACAAGCGACGATATGCCATGTGTGAATGGTTTGGGCTCCAATCTGTTCCACTCTGCTTCTTGCATTGTGTAGGCAGTGTCGCAGCCGCACCTAAGGCGAGCCTTTTGGCGGAATCCTTGGCTCCAGGCATGCCGCTGTCAACCAAGGCGGCAGATCCGAAAATTCCAAAACCCATACTAATAATTTTGATATCAACAATAGTACTAAGATAATACTACTCATACTAATACTAATTACCAACAAGAAGGTTAAGTCTCGTCTTGTCTCGTAGAGCTTTTCCTTGTTCAGGCATTGCTCGTGTTGCAACGGGCAGAGGTAGAAGTCACCGGCAACTTGAGGTTCTGGGAGAAGTAGTAGGAGTAGTAGCAGTAGTAGTAGTAGTAGTAGTCGTCGTCGTCGTCGTAGTGGTAGTGGTAGTGGTAGTGGTAGTGGTAGTAGTAGTAGTAGTAGTAGTAGTAGTAGTAGTAGTAGTAGGAGTAGTAGGAGTAGTAGGAGTAGTAGTAGTAGTAGTAGTAGTAGTAGGAGTAGCAGTAGCAGTAGCAGTAGCAGTAGCAGTAGTAGTAGTAGTAGTTGTTGTTGTGGTAGTAGTAGTAGTAGTAGTAGCAGTGGTAGTAGTAGTAGTAGTAGTAGTAGTAGTAGTAGTAGTAGTAGTAGTAGTAGTAGTCCTAGAATCTAGGATTCTAGGTCGAACCAGTAGTGTCAGCATAACTGGCAGCTGCGATATCATCCCTTATTCCTCGCGTAAAGCCTTCTTCGAGGGTGCTGAGCTGATTGTGTCTAGCTGCTGGCCTCGCCCTGAAGACCCCTGCAATGTAAATCAACCTGGTGAGACTAAGGCTAGATGAATGTACAGGAACATACTGTACCAGGTTGCGCAACGGTTGAAAGTGGTCGCGTTCGGGAGGTTGGTAGGGTTCGGGCGGATGGTGACTCTCCTGGGGCGGCCCCTACCACTGCCGGCATGTCATCGGCTCGGTCCGCAAGCGTCGTCCTCAGTGATGTTATCCATCAGTGATCGTTTTTTGTGGGAGGTCGTCGCCCTGGACGGTGTGCGTGCAGCGGTATCAGCAGCAGGCAGCCAAGAAAGCCAATTACAGAAGGCCCGGCTCGGTGCTGAGACCTAGCGCGCAAAGGTAGACAGGGCGCAAGTCCGCTACAGCACTTTGTAGAAGTCTTGCCCGCGAATAGGGTGGGATACTTCAGGTTCTGTTGGTGACGAGTTCTGGAAGGAAAGTTGATGTTCAATGCCAATCTGCTCTTCAGCTTGATGCTGTAAAACAATGGCAGGATCTAGGGTCGAGGACAGAGTGCAGCTTCAGAAAATCTAGGGCCCTGCACACGGAGATTCTTGTTTGTGAGGATCCTGATTTCAACCCCATTTGCGGCAGACAGGCTTTGTCGAAAGTGGCAGCACGCTGCTTGGCGAGCAGCGGTCTGGAAAGTGTCAGCGAGGCCAGCAGTGATTGGCGGTGGGTAGTAGCCAAAAGTAGCGGCATGCGAAGAGAGGAGGAGGAGCAGCAGCAGGAGGAGTAGTAGAAGTAGGTAGTCGCAAGTGGTAGCGGTAGCGGTGGTAGGGTGGCGGTAGGGGTGGGTAGGGTAGGGGTAGGGGTGGGTAGGGGTAGGGGTAGGCTTTTTTTGGGAGGGGGGGTGGGCGTGAGTAGGAGGAGTAGGAGTAGGAGTGGGCATTGTTGGAGTAGTAGTGGTCGTGGTGATGGTCCGTGGTGCTGGTGCTGGTGTAGCCGCTGGTGCTGGTGCTAGTAGTGGTAGCAGCAGTAGTAGCAATTGTAGTCGTCATCGTCGTCACAGACGTCGTTGTCAGCCATGGTGGTAGATTGGGGCCCCCGCCACAAGCAGTGGCCACAGTTGCCGTACATTGTAGTTAGGGAGGGTCTTCCGGATTTCCTAGTCTTTATCGCACTCGCCTTGCAGGGCGGCGACCGGTGTGCTTGGAGCACACTGGTGATAGCAGCGGAAGTTCCGCTCGGAGCCCAGGGAAGTTTGTGCGGGGTTGTTGCATCCTTCGCTATTTCATGCTTTGCAGCAGGGTGCATTTGCGCCACCGTCGCATGGAGCCCTTCCAGCACAGGCCAGCCCACTGTATTGAAGCCGACTGATAGTTATTGCTTCATGTCTTGCGGGCATGCGTTGCCCTTCAAGTTGCAACGTTGTAGAGAACCCCGGCTTCGGGGTGAGGGATTCACAGCTTAGGGTTTCATCAAAGGGTTCAGAGTGCAGGATGTAGGGCTTAGGCTCAAGATTCAAGGGCACTTGGGAGGGCCTACCATCCAAAAGCTAAAGCAAAACACTGCAGGCCTAGAGGATGCTCGAAGCAAAGAGCAGACAGCGAAAGAAAAGTGCGCTGCCGGCAGCCTGTCGTGACATCCGCATGCAAACGAATGCAAACGACCAGATGGCCCTGTGACGATTGAGACAGTGCGATGTAGGCGAGAATGTTCAGTGCGGCATATCCAGACCTTATACTCCGCAAAGATCGAAATAGGGCCCGAAACAGTTCTCCAACAGAGTGCACCAGGCTGGATTTGCAGAGACACTCGGCCAGCTTCCCAGCCTTTGCAGATCTAGCGATCCGAGGATGGAGGATGGAGCATGCCCGTTGACTAAGGATGCCCGTGACCGGCTCTTGTGCTGCGTGGACGGTTTTGGGGCAGATATGCGCCTGGGCAAGGTTTAGAATCTCGCGGGCGACGATCACACAGTGCCTGCCCATTGATTCCCTATTCTTCGAGCTCACGCCGGCGCATGGATTTCCGTAGGGTACTGTAGTCTCTTCATCTTCGGAGCTCTGCTGAGGAGTCGAATCTCCTTGGTTCGACTTGGAGCCGCTTCCCCAGACTACCAACCGCACTTGGTCCAACATGGCGAGAGAGTTTCAGTTATTAGCAGAATGCAGCACTGAAGGGACATAGAACTGTAGCATGCGCCAATCCCATGCACGGAAAGTCTGCGCATGCGCACGTAAATAAGCACAGAGGTTTCACACCTGGAAGTGCTGCACGCATGATGGACCTTACAGGCTGCATTTTGTCATCTGTAACCTTTGCTTGCTGAGCGATGTGTTCCCTCAACTCACGCGCACACTATCTGCGGATGGCAACAATCTTTCGGTGCCTTGGAATTTCCGTGAAAAGCATATAGTCCCAAGCCGCTTGCGACCTAAGCCATAAATTGCAACCAACCCTACACCATCCTACACCCAACGCATTCTAAGCTGCCAAACCCTAACATGCTAAAACACCCTAGACTGCAAGAGCGTCTGACACTCAGCAAGTCAGTCGGGCACTTGGACGGTCACTCCGTCAGAGAGTCATTTGCCAGCGTTAGACTTGGCACAGATAAACAGACAGATAAACAGACAGTCAGACAGTATGATATATGTATATTATATGTATATATGTATACTATAGTTGGAAATACTATATGTGAAGTGCACTACTGACTTCCTCTGACCGCTTGCCTGTCTGACCATCTCATGCTCTGTCCAGTTCACGAAGTTCTTTTGGTTCGGGATTCAGCAACATGCCAATGTGAGAAACAGGACTGTCGCCCCAGCCTTTGCAGCCTGAGGTGGCACCACCAACCAGCATCTTCAGGCCAAGCCCATGCATCACTGAGAAATGGTCAGAACATGGTGGCACAGGATTCGACTGCCATGTGTTGTCAAGGTGCCTCCCAGATTCCTAGATGCCTGGTAGAAGCTAGTGACCCTCTGGTCAAAGTCCTCCTTGCATGTACCGTGAGTGCCGCTGTAGCAGTCGCATTTGGTTAAGGAGCTAAAGGCAGGAAATTTCACAGCAGAGCACTGGATCCTGGAGACAGCGGCTTGGCTGGAGTCTCACACTTTATCCATCCGCGACATTTGGGCTGGCGACGTGCGGCACTGCAGTTTCAAACGACAAAGCCTAGCATCGTTCAGCTTTTGCTTCTGAATTGCATTGCGGCCGCAATGCATTGCGTTAGTGGGTGTGGGTTCGTCGATGCGTTTGTCGTGCCTGCATTGTCTGCAGTCAGAAGGGTGTTTCAACTTCGGTTTCTGTGTGGGGAAGACGATACATTGACATCGTGCGTACGTGATGTGTGCAAGCTGGACATTCCCCCAGCATGCCTGAGCTGCATTTCTCGCAGGCGTGGCACTTGAACCTACACCATCTTCCAGGAATACGTGAAACAGCGCCCTGGCTGCATGCAACCGAAGGAGATCAAGCCTTACAAACCCTGCCACCTGTTTTTCTGCTGCTGACAGGGGGGAACGCATGTCAGCATTTTGGCATCAAGCACTCCAAAGCCTGCTCTTTGCATCTCGCGCCTTCACGATGACCATGAAGACCGTTGCCGCAGCTGCTGGCGCCATGGCCTTCCAGGCGATGGGAGGACTCTTTGCTTCGCCAGCAAGGGCGGCTTGGGGCTGGTTCATGGAGGTACCGACCGGTCTCGGCTTCACCTGCAGTGAGGGCACCTCGCTTGGCTGTGCCTCTCCTGCAGGCTGCGAGGACTCCAACTTTACTTGCACGGTCGTGCCCGATGCAGGCATGAGCTGTGATGTCACTTCCACGAACGTCGTGTGCTCCATTGCCGGCGGTGCCCAGAACTTCGTGCCGGACTCTGCCAGTCCGATGTGCGCCCAGGTCAACACCAGCAGCCATTACAACAACGCCAGCCTGTCCTGGAGCACGGTCCCGACCTGTGGAACCACCACCACCGGTGCATCGACGTCTGACGCCCGCATGGAGATGGTCGGATTTGCGGCGGCGGCCTTGGCAACGGCACAGTTGCTCTAAGAGCAAGAGAGTGCATAGGTAGTGTGCGTAGGTAGACATGCTGAAGGCTTCTTCCAATGACATTTTCGTCAGAGAGCATGGGTGCAAAGCAGCCCATAGATCCTGTCAGTCAAGTCCAGCGTTCAGCTCTTCTACAGCCCCTATTCAGCACTGCGAGGATCAGTTCCTCGGAGTGCCTGTATCATTCAATTTCCCCAAGACTTTTCGTAGCCTCGCGCGCCAGCAGCAGCCTGTGTGTTCGAAATCTGACTCGGCCTGGTCTTACCGTTCTTCTGCAAACCCTTGTTTCCTCATACACAGCTTCAGTGGCCCCCCAGTGTGCGGCAGTGTTAGGTGAAAGTGGCCGTCATCGACGAAACCGATTTTTTGGGGAGGTGAACAGCAGGCCGCCCGATCGTCTTTTGCATCGAGACGCTTAGAGGCTAGCATGTTGGGGAGGCACGCATCAAGAGTAATAATCAGCGATGATCAGCGATGGCCAATGTTTCAGCAAGTGGACCCAGATGCAGCAGATGCACATGCACAAGTCTGCGGGAGCAGTCTCTCCCAACGTAACACGCTTTCGCAAGCTAGCATGTGCATGCAGCTTCTTGTTTTGCACAGCTGACATGTGGGAAAGCATTTTGGCATCAAGCACTCCAAAGCCTGCTCTTTGCATCTCGCGCCTTCACGATGACCATGAAGATCGTTGCCGCAGCTGCTGGCGCCATGGCCTTCCAGGCGATGGGAGGACTCTTTGCTTCGCCAGCAAGGGCGGCTTGGGGCTGGTTCATGGAGGTACCGACCAGTCTCGGCTTCACCTGCAGTGAGGGCACCTCGCTTGGCTGTGCCTCTCCTGCAGGCTGCGAGGACTCCAACTTTACTTGCACGGTCGTGCCCGATGCAGGCATGAGCTGCGATGTCACTTCCACGAACGTCGTGTGCTCCATTGCCGGCGGTGCCCAGAACTTCGTGCCGGACTCTGCCAGTCCGATGTGCGCCCAGGTCAACACCAGCAGCCATTACAACAACGCCAGCCTGTCCTGGAGCACGGTCCCGACCTGTGGAACCACCACCACCGGTGCATCGACGTCTGACGCCCGCATGGAGATGGTCGGATTTGCGGCGGCGGCCTTGGCAACGGCACAGTTGCTCTAAGAGCAAGAGAGTGCATAGGTAGTGTGCGTAGGTAGACATGCTGAAGGCTTCTTCCAATGACATTTTCGTCAGAGAGCATGGGTGCAAAGCAGCCCATAGATCCTGTCAGTCAAGTCCAGCGTTCAGCTCTTCTACAGCCCCTATTCAGCACTGCGAGGATCAGTTCCTCGGAGTGCCTGTATCATTCAATTTCCCCAAGACTTTTCGTAGCCTCGCGCGCCAGCAGCAGCCTGTGTGTTCGAAATCTGACTCGGCCTGGTCTTACCGTTCTTCTGCAAACCCTTGTTTCCTCATACACAGCTTCAGTGGCCTAGTGTGCGGCAGTGTTAGGTGAAAGTGGCCGTCATCGACGAAACCGATTTTTTGGGGAGGTGAACAGCAGGCCGCCCGATCGTCTATTGCATCGAGACGCTTAGAGGCTACGTAGCATGTTGGGGAGGCACGCATCAAGAGTAATAATCAGCGATGCTCAGCGATGGCCAATGTTTCAGCAAGTGGACCCAGATGCAGCAGATGCACATGCACAAGTCTGCGGGAGCAGTCTCTCCCAACGTAACACGCTTTCGCATGCTAGCATGTGCATGCAGCTTCTTGTTTTGCACTGCTGACACGTGGGAAAGCATTTTGGCACCAAGCACTCCAGAGCCTGCTCTTTGCATCTCGCGCCTTTCCGACGACCATGAAGATCGTTGCTGCAGCTGCTGGCGCCATGGCCTTCCAGGCGATGGGAGGACTCTTTGCTTCGCCAGCAAGGGCGGCTTGGGGCTGGTTCATGGAGGTACCGACCGGTCTCGGCTTCACCTGCAGTGAGGGCACCTCGCTTGGCTGTGCCTCTCCTGCAGGCTGCGAGGACTCCAACTTTACTTGCACGGTCGTGCCCGATGCAGGCATGAGCTGCGATGTCACTTCCACGAACGTCGTGTGCTCCATTGCCGGCGGTGCCCAGAACTTCGTGCCGGACTCTGCCAGTCCGATGTGCGCCCAGGTCAACACCAGCAGCCATTACAACAACGCCAGCCTGTCCTGGAGCACGGTCCCGACCTGTGGAACCACCACCACCGGTGCATCGACGTCTGACGCCCGCATGGAGATGGTCGGATTTGCGGCGGCGGCCTTGGCAACGGCACAGTTGCTCTAAGAGCAAGAGAGTGCATAGGTAGTGTGCGTAGGTAGACATGCTGAAGGCTTCTTCCAATGACATTTTCGTCAGAGAGCATGGGTGCAAAGCAGCCCATAGATCCTGTCAGTCAAGTCCAGCGTTCAGCTCTTCTACAGCCCCTATTCAGCACTGCGAGGATCAGTTCCTCGGAGTGCCTGTATCATTCAATTTCCCCAAGACTTTTCGTAGCCTCGCGCGCCAGCAGCAGCCTGTGTGTTCGAAATCTGACTCGGCCTGGTCTTACCGTTCTTCTGCAAACCCTTGTTTCCTCATACACAGCTTCAGTGGCCCCCCAGTGTGCGGCAGTGTTAGGTGAAAGTGGCCGTCATCGACGAAACCGATTTTTTGGGGAGGTGAACAGCAGGCCGCCCGATCGTCTTTTGCATCGAGACGCTTAGAGGCTAGCATGTTGGGGAGGCACGCATCAAGAGTAATAATCAGCGATGGCCAATGTTTCAGCAAGTGGACCCAGATGCAGCAGATGCACATGCACAAGTCTGCGGGAGCAGTCTCTCCCAACGTAACACGCTTTCGCATGCTAGCATGTGCATGCGTTTTGCACAGCTGACATGTGGGAAAGCATTTTGGCACCAAGCACTCCAGAGCCTGCTCTTTGCATCTCGCGCCTTTCCGACGACCATGAAGATCGTTGCTGCAGCTGCTGGCGCCATGGCCTTCCAGGCGATGGGAGGACTCTTTGCTTCGCCAGCAAGGGCGGCTTGGGGCTGGTTCATGGAGGTACCGACCGGTCTCGGCTTCACCTGCAGTGAGGGCACCTCGCTTGGCTGTGCCTCTCCTGCAGGCTGCGAGGACTCCAACTTTACTTGCACGGTCGTGCCCGATGCAGGCATGAGCTGCGATGTCACTTCCACGAACGTCGTGTGCTCCATTGCCGGCGGTGCCCAGAACTTCGTGCCGGACTCTGCCAGTCCGATGTGCGCCCAGGTCAACACCAGCAGCCATTACAACAACGCCAGCCTGTCCTGGAGCACGGTCCCGACCTGCGGCACAACCACCAGCACCAACATGACGATAAGTACCACCACCACCACCACCACCAGCACCACCACCAGCACTACCACTACCACCACCGCGGGTGGAACTTTGACGTCGGATGCAAGCATTCCGATGCTCGGATTTGCGGCGGCGGCTCTGGCAACGGCACAGTTGCTCTAAGAGCAACGGTGTGCATCGCTTGTGCGCGTGGGTTTGTGCAAGTAGATTGGCTGGAGGCCTTTTCCACTGACACTTTCAGCAGGGAGCATGGGTGCAAAGCAGCCTAATGGATCCTGCTAGTCAAGTTCAGCCTCAGCTGTTCTACTACAGCGCCTGTTCAGCACTGCGAAGGATCAGTTTCTCGGAGTGCCTGTAGTATTCAACTTCTCAGAGACGTTTCGCAACCTCGCCGCCAGCAGCAGCCTGTGATTCAGACACTACTGCGCGGCTTCAACCCCGCCCGTCTTTTGCATCGAGAGGCCGTGAGGATGCCCCTCCCGCTGCTTATTCTTCTACTGCAATATTACTACAATATGACTATAATATTACTATTACTATACCACCTCCGAAACCCAGAGACCTATCCATCAGAGCGCAAACAGGACACCGGCCGGCCACTCCCTGCTGCAGCGAAGTCGGCAGATTGAAAGCACCCCGGCATGGTGAAGGACTTAGAGTTTAGGATTTAGAGTTTAGGGTTTCGCTTCGCGGTTTCGAGTTCAAGTTCAAGGATTGAAGTTCAAGCTTTAGGGTTGAGGCATGCACTGCTGAGAAGTTTGATAAAGTTTGAAGTCTTCACGCAGATCTCACATTTCATGTTGTCTCACATCCCTGGAGTCTAGGGCTGCATGCACAAGTGAAGAGGCAGAGGATCCTCGCCGAAATACGGAAGCAGCGGCAATCCCTGAAGCCTGAAGCCCTGAACGACGTCCCAACAGATCCGAAACGAAAATTCCCAAGCCAGAAGCTCATGGAATAGACCTCCAGCCACACAGAAGCCTCACTGATTTGCGGCAGTGCGAGGTGAAAGTGCTCCTCATCGACGAGGGAGAGGTGACCAGCAGGCAGCTTCGCCGGCCCTTTCGCATCACGAGGCTGAGAGGTTGGAATGATTGCGGAGGCGCGTCGTCAACAGCAATCAGGAAAGGCCACCGTCTCAGCAAGTGGACCCAGATGCGCTTGCACGAGTCTGAACTGACGTCAGATGAATCCGCATGCTTGCAGGTTCTGCTGTAGCTTCTTGCTTTGCACAGCTCTTGTTGGGGGCAAGCATTTTGGCATCAAGCATTCCAGAGCCTGCTCTTTGCATCTCGCGCCTTCACGATGACCATGAAGATCGTTGCCGCAGCTGCTGGCGCCATGGCCTTCCAGGCGATGGGAGGACTCTTTGCTTCGCCGGCAAGGGCGGCTTGGGGCTGGTTCATGGAGGTACCGACCGGTCTCGGCTTCACTTGCAGTGAGGGCACCTCGCTTGGCTGTGCCTCTCCTGCAGGCTGCGAGGACTCCAACTTTACTTGCACGGTCGTGCCCGATGCAGGCATGAGCTGCGATGTCACCTCCACGAACGTCGTGTGCTCTATTGCCGGCGGTGCCCAGAACTTCGTGCCGGACTCTGCTAGTCCGATGTGTGCCCAGGTCAACACCAGCAGCCATTACAACAACGCCAGCCTGTCCTGGAGCACGGTCCCGACCTGCGGAACCACCACCACCGGTGCGTCGACGTCTGACGCCAGCATGGAGATGGTCGGCTTTGCTGCGGCAGCCCTGGCAACGGCACAGCTGCTTTAAGAGCAAGGGAGTGCATTTTCATGGCTATGTGTAGCTATACGTAGTTTCTGCGGGTATTTTCCACAGACATTTTCTGGCAGAGAGTGTGGACACGAAGCGGCCTGCAGTTCCTGCCTGAAGTCTCTATAATTCAGATTTGCGACGCCTGTCTGGGAGGTTCCCCCCCTCCCCTGCAGCACTGTGCCGAGTCCATCGCATTTGGTTTTGTAGCCCGACAGCGATGGCACGGAGTGGGCATCAGAGAGGTCCTGGACACACTATGGGCCTCTCCGGCCCGCGACGTTTGGAAGCAGTGCGTCTGAGTACACGGCTCGGCGTGCAGGGCGATACCCACCTGCCACGCCAAAGGAAAAGGGTGCCTCGTTGTGCTGCACACAGAGCTCGCAGAAGGTATTCAAGCATGTATAAGATGGCGCATGTGCAAGACGGCTTTAAGCTGAAAAGAGTTTTTAGGTCTAGAGTCTGCGACAACGGAGGTCCAGCTGGCCATCATCGAAAATGCCCACTTCCTCGGAGAGCATCCCAGCCGGTCTTGAACATGGCAGGCTAGCACAGGGCAGGAGCTGCTGTTGCAAGATGCATTCGGATGCTAGCTGCGACTTCATGTTTTGCACAGCTGACATGTGGGGCAAGCATCTTGGCATCAAGCACTCTAGAGTCTGCTCTTTGCATCTCGCGCCTTCACGATGACCATGAAGATCGTTGCCGCAGCTGCTGGCGCCATGGCCTTCCAGGCGATGGGAGGACTCTTTGCTTCGCCGGCAAGGGCGGCTTGGGGCTGGTTCATGGAGGTACCGACCGGTCTCGGCTTCACTTGCAGTGAGGGCACCTCGCTTGGCTGTGCCTCTCCTGCAGGCTGCGAGGACTCCAACTTTACTTGCACGGTCGTGCCCGATGCAGGCATGAGCTGCGATGTCACCTCCACGAACGTCGTGTGCTCTATTGCCGGCGGTGCCCAGAACTTCGTGCCGGACTCTGCTAGTCCGATGTGTGCCCAGGTCAACACCAGCAGCCATTACAACAATGCCAGCCTGTCCTGGAGCACGGTCCCGACCTGTGGAACCACCACCACCGGTGCGTCGACGTCTGACGCCAGCATGGAGATGGTCGGCTTTGCTGCGGCAGCCCTGGCAACGGCACAGCTGCTTTAAGAGCAAGGGAGTGCATTTTCATGGCTATGTGTAGCTATACGTAGTTTCTGCGGGTATTTTCCACAGACATTTTCTGGCAGAGGGTGTGGACACGAAGCGGCCTGCAGTTCCTGCCTGAAGTCTCTATAATTCAGATTTGCGACGCCTGTCTGGGAGGTTCCCTCCTCCCCTTCAGCACTGTGCCGAGTCCATCGCATTTGATTTTGTAGCCCGACAGCGATGGCACGGAGTGGGCATCAGAGAGGTCCTGGACACACTATGGGCCTCTCCGGCCCGCGACGTTTGGAAACAGTGCGTCTGAGTACACGGCTCGGCGTGCAGGGCGATACCCACCTGCCACGCCAAAGGAAAAGGGTGCCTCGTTGTGCTGCACACAGAGCTCGCAGAAGGTATTCAAGCATGTATAAGATGGCGCATGTGCAAGACGGCTTTAAGCTGACGAGGGTTTTTAGGGCTAGAGTTCCTTCACACATCAGACATACCTCTGCATGCTCCACCGCATAGGGCCGCTGATCATCACTCGGACAGTTTTCGCACGTTCAAAAGGCCTGTTCTGCGACAACGGGAGGTCCAGCTGGCCATCATCGAAAATGCCCACTTCCTCGGAGAGCATCCCAGCCGGTCTTGAACATGGCAGGCTAGCACAGGGCAGGAGCTGCTGTTGCAAGATGCATAAGGATGCTAGCTGCGACTTCATGTTTTGCACAGCTGACATGTGGGGCAAGCATTTTGGCATCAAGCACTCTAGAGTCTCTTTGCATCTCGCGCCTTCACGATGACCATGAAGATCGTTGCCGCAGCTGCTGGCGCGATGGCCTTCCAGGCGATGGGAGGACTCTTTGCTTCGCCGGCAAGGGCGGCTTGGGGCTGGTTCATGGAGGTACCGACCGGTCTCGGCTTCACTTGCAGTGAGGGCACCTCGCTTGGCTGTGCCTCTCCTGCAGGCTGCGAGGACTCCAACTTTACTTGCACGGTCGTGCCCGATGCAGGCATGAGCTGCGATGTCACCTCCACGAACGTCGTGTGCTCTATTGCCGGCGGTGCCCAGAACTTCGTGCCGGACTCTGCTAGTCCGATGTGTGCCCAGGTCAACACCAGCGACCATTACAACAACGCCAGCCTGTCCTGGAGCACGGTCCCGACCTGCGGAACGACAACCACCGGTACGGCAACGACGTCTGACGCAAGCATGGAGATGGTCGGCTTTGCTGCGGCAGCCCTGGCAACGGCACAGCTGCTTTAAGAGCAAGGGAGTGCATTTTCATGGCTATTTGTAGCTATACGTAGTCTCTGCGGGTATTTTCCACAGACATTTTCTGGCAGAGAGTGTGGACACGAAGCGGCCTACAGTTCCTGCCTGAAGTCTCTATAATTCAGATTTGCACGCCTGTCCGGGAGGTTCCCCCCCTCCCCTGCACACTGTGAGGAATAAGTTCCTCGACGTGCTAAACTCGTGCCAGTAGCAGCGTGTGTGAGAGAGAAAAAGTTAATTGCTCACGATGTTCTCGAGGGTCTCGCCGTTGACCCTTGCATGAGGCTTCATGTCGTCCCCTATCGTCTCTTTGTAAATCCCCTTTTGACAGAGCGAGGTGATGGTAACCTTCCCGGGCGATCTCGACGACCCGCGCTTTCTCAAACGAGCTTCCGAGCAGGCGGCCACGCCGGCCCTTGTTCGCATTGACTGAACAAGTAGTCCGCCGAGGGATGCAAGAATTGCTTAAGCATACATGGTCTCGGCGGGCAGGTGATTGGTGAGCATGCCTATTCGTATCCAGAGGCAAACAGTTTTGCGGAACGCAGACGTTTGCCGGAAGGAGTTAGCTAGCTTCTTTAGAACCGTGAAAATGCAGTGGGACCGTAGTCGTTAATCATAGCAGCCGAAGAATATGTGCAAGAGTATCTGGATCTGGTAGAGTAACTTGAAGATTAAATTATGGAATAGTTTTTTTAAAACTTCATTGATTATATTCTAGGTCAAGAGTAGATCTTATAGGTCTGTGGCTGTAGATTCGAGCTTTCTTACTTGTGGGTTATGGTGCCCAAGTGGCCTGTTGCACGACACTATTCGGAATTTTCAGGGGTCTGTATAGCCCGTTCTATTGTGCGAAATTCCGAAGGGGCTTCTTGAGTATACTTGGATGTTGGGAATATTTCCTTTTTTTTTTTTTTTTTTATTCCCCATATCTTTACGAGGGATTTTCATTTTTATTGTAGCCTTCCGCTTCGTTGTTATTGGTACTTCACTTCACTCCGATATTCTCTCCTTCTTCCTCGCTCAATAGATTACGTATCAGAGTATATACTAGAGATCACAGAAATTATGATATCATGTAATCGGTATAATCGATAGTACGATAGAAAATAGGCATATATAAATACGTACGGTCTCCGGAAGATACTAAATGCTATCTCTGGAGTGTTCTATGGGATGCGACGCGTTTTAGGATCTCTGCTTCCGGAAGATACTAAAGCAATAAAACGTTCTCTCGACACGAACTTTAAACTCTTTACGTTCTGGAAGAATATAGAGAAAAGTCGTTTCCGGAGCGTTCTATAGGATGTGGCGCGTGCTTTAGGGTGTCTATTCTCTGGAAGATTCTAAAATATTATTTAATGCTGTCTTTGGAGTGGTCGGAAAAATTCGACGTAGAATTTGGTTCTCTACCCTCCGGAATATTATCTTTCGGCACTTCTTTTAGGATCTCTACGATCTGGAAAATTGTAGACGCTTCTAGATGTTATTTGTGAGTATTCTGCGGGACGCGGTATCTCTATTCTCTCGACGATTGTAAATATTGGTAAATGTTATCTTTCGAGCGTTCTACGGGATGCGGCGCGGTTTTTAGGGTCCGGAGTGCTGTACGGAAGATAGCATGCGTTTTCGGATCTTTACGTTCTGGAAGAATGAAATATTATTAAATGCGGAGTGCTTTACGGGATATGGCGTATATTTTGATTTTGATAATTCCGAAGGGTTGTAAATGCTATTCGATCTTCATTTGTGTTGTTTGCTGAGTCTATATATAGGTTTCTTTGAAAGGATCTTATTTATTGAAGATGGTCGGGTACTCATAATCGAATAATTCGTTTGATTGCGTTACGTTATTTATTTGAATCGGGGGAGAATGTCTATTTTCTAGGAATTAAAATAATTGAAATAAACATTTTTCGTCTTTATTTTTGATATTGATGAAATTTTATGCGTTAATATTCTTTTTCTCGAGATTGGGAGTTGAGGTAAATTTCATTTTAATTATTTTAAGAAAAAAATTGATTGCCGATTTGGGAAACTATTAAAAAAAATTTGGGTTGTTGTTAAGTGGGCGCAAAATATTGTTTGGATGAGTAATATGGGTTGCGTGAGGTTATTTTGGGAAGTAATAATTAGATTGATATACGTAATATTTGTAGCTTGTATCGTATTCTCTTATATCTTCGTCGTAAAGATAATTATATTTGGAACGTTATGAAGTATACTCCCTTGTGGATTTCCGGAAAAAATTGAAAGAGCGTGATTGGAATGAAATTTCTCTTTGATCTTGGGAGAAGTACGCCTTCATATTAGAGTTAATGTTTAGTTGCAGAGATAGTTTCATAATCTTCGTTCCGGTTGGTACGAAAATTATTGGACTCGTTTCATATTGAGATCTCGGAATAAGAGGTTGGATATTAGAGATTTTGATATCTAAGTCTTTCATAGATAGGGCTTCGCGTATATGCGTCGATTAATAAAGAATTCTGGTTATAAGATCGTTGCCTTAGGGGTAAGTATCAGTCCCGTTTGGTTTCAAACGACGCAAAATTTCAGTGATTATTATATCTGGTGCGATGCTTTAGACTTCTGGCATCGTATTTGATAGGAATATCAAATAAGTCCGCTCATGAGCTCTCAGCCACCGATTCCGCGTTGTAATCTTCTTCGGCGTTGGAATAGGGGTCGTAAGGTTGAATCGAACGTTATTCTTCCCTATCTTGTTCAGGTCCAAGAGTTCCTATGGTAAGCTAGAGGGAGATCGTAATTTTATCGATATGATAGTGTTTGCGAAAATATTTCTATAAAATTTATTCTTTCCCACCCTGGATTTTCCGTGCCCGGATTCTTATTATATTCGATATCGTTGATTTTGATGAATTAAAAATAAGATTATCAAGGATATCGGAATATTTCCAATATTCGTAATTCTATAGAAGAATAGAAAGAATAATTTCAGCGATAATTGAAGTGCTCTAGTCCGATTCGACGGCCTATAATAAGAATTATATCGATAAGATTTCATTATAATCTATAAAATATAAAAAATATATTTCTTCAGCAATTATTTCCGTTCTGGCCTCTAGATAGATAAATAATCTCGTGAAAATTTTGAATTTATTGCGGTTCTCGAGGGGAGATAACGAATTTCTTTGATATATTTTGATATTTTTTAACAAGCTATATATCAAAAAAGAACTATCTCGATAGAATCATTGTTTCTATATCTTCTCGTGGGGTTCGTTTTCGGGTATGCGAGGTCGGACGACGATAGTTCTGATAAAATTCCAATATTATAATTAATAGTAGTGGGCGTCTTCTTGTTTTAATATCAATGCCTAATTATAGATAATATATAATTTCTATTGAATATAAAGAAAGATCGCGATTCTATTTTATTATACGACATATCTAAAAATATATTATCAAAATCGATAGGAAGTCATCATTTAGATATGACGATTATATATTCATTTTCAAAAATATATATAAATTAATCGATTATCGATTATAGAGAATCATATTCTAATATTAAATAAATCCTAAGTTGAATCTCAATATTAGATCGATCTTATAATTAATATCTAATAATATTATATATCGCTCCTATATGAAATTTATGATATTCATTCGTATCATCTTATTAATAAATATAGATATTCTTCCTCCAACGAGAAATTCCTATGCGATTTTTATTATAAAATCAAAATATTTATTAATTCCACACCGCATATATAGAAATATCTTTTCTATGAGATTCTCATATCGATATATAAATAATAATGATAGAGAAACGATTTTAGATTTGAATTTTAGATATTTATCTATTATAATGTTCAATTATCTCGATTTCACACAAAAATTTCCTTTGCCCGGATATCATTCACGAAATTCGCAAAGGTTTCGAACTACTTATATGACGATCGTACAACGAAATTCCGCCGCTACCTCGACATATCTAAAGCGTTTGCTACAGAATAATTAATATTATATGATTCAGAATATATATAAAATTTTTCAAATATCTCATAATCATATCGCGCCATGACTAACGTCGAAATCTCGTATACCAAAAAGAACGTTCGTATCAATTTTAGTACCATTTCCATTTCAGATATTCGAAGAATCCGTCCCATCTGCCGTCATTATAATCTACCATTGTCTACCATTGCTACTACTCTTACCGTTATCGCCACTATTGTTATTACCGTTGTTACTACTTTTGTTGCCGTGAGGGTGTTTACGGTGATTCCTGCGCTCGAGGTACCTTTTACATCGTCCTCATGCTAGTGGTGCTGATACTACTACTACTACTACTACTACTACTTCTACTTCTACTACTACTACTACTACTAGTATTCTTCTGGTTGGTGATAGTGCAACTGCCGTCATACTAGTCGATTGTAGTTATCGTCGCTGTCGATGTTGTCATTGTAATAGTCATTATTGCCGGTGCTATTACCGTTGTTGCTATTGTTATTGCTGCTGTTGTTACTATTGTTGTAAGCCTCTCGGCTCAGGAAAGGTCAGGCTAGTACAGTTGCCTTTTTCCTTTCTTGCCATGACACGTGTCAGCGCCTGAGCGCTCCCGGTCCCAAGTCCGGGAGGGAGTATTAGACTTACAGCTTTCTATCAGCTCCCAGAGGTGAGGGTTGTCGGTCTCGCGCAGCCGACAGGAGCCGCGCTCAATATGAGCGTTGCGAAACAGCCTAGTGTAGTGTCTCGACCAAGTATCCGCCCGCTCCTAAAGGGAAGGGCAAACGCTCTTATCAAAGGGCAGCACGCAAAGCTCTTGTCGTCAACAGAGCTTGGAGATACTCCAGCATCATATAAGCCCTCAAGTCCAGGTAGAAGGATTCAGCCCTCGAAGTTCTTCGAGGACAAGAATCTCAGTTATCTCTCGTGGAATGCAGGTTCTCTAACAACTGCAGTTTGGGAAGAGTTACTCTCCGTTCTGCGAAGTAGAGCATTTCAGGAGGTTAAACTGGTTG